AAAAGATGGGTGGGTGGAGAGCAAAAAAGGTGGAGTTTGCCCTCAGTCTAGCTGCCAGCGTGGAGCTCCCCCATTTGGTCCCTAGGCCAACTGGCAGAGCCAGGTCTTCAGGTTCCTGCAGGATAGAAGGGTGGAGGCAGATCTTGCCCTAGAGTGTAGGATGTTCCAAAGGATATTCTAAAGAATTATGTAAATATTTTTATGGATGTGAGAATTGGGAATCTTCACCTTTTGAAAAAATGCTGTCTTATTTGCAGCAAAACATTTTCAAAGGATGATCTGTGTAATCTTGCTTATCAGATTATTGGATTTCAAAAACTGTATACAGCTTTCAGCATTTCTACCTCAATGGGAAGTTGCACCTGCTTAGTAGAGGATTTAAATAGAAAGCAACCACGGAATATCAGGGCAATTTGCTAGATTGTGAAATTGAAAAACATCCTAGAAAAATGCAATCTGTTTTCATTTTATTGCTGAGAAAAATATATGAATATTGTATATCCCGGAAGCATAGCTGATTTGTTGTAGATTTTATTTTTCCCACTGTGATGCTCTGTTTGCCTTTTATATCTTTTGTGATTAATTCTATCGATGTAAGAGCAACCAGCAAGAGATTATTGACTCTTATGAGATGAGTTCCATGTGGGTAGTGAATTATCATTCTTGATGGTAAGCATCCTCCCCCTGCTTTTACTGTCAATTATATGGAATTCTTCAAATGAAACTTTAGCAACTCCTCCTAGGTATATGTTCTAGAAGGTAATAAAAAGCAGGCCAATAAATTAAAATTTAACCAGCATATATATTCTATTTTCTCTTTTTCTCTGACCCCATCTCTCTACACACACACACGAACACAGACAACATGTTTACTGCATATTCCAGGTATTTTGAGTAGTGAAGAACTTTCTTCTTTATTTTCTTGACATCATGCCTACATTGGTACATCTGTTGCATTCATTCCTTTATGTCATTTTGTAATCTAAATTTAAAATCTTGAAAGTTGTATGTTCTTCCTGCACAGCAACTAGTTCAGACCTTAATCATTTTTTGTGTACCTTTTGTGTACCTTTTCCAATTGCATAGTACTTTTTTGAGAGGTAGAAATCAAAGGCAGATGATTAATCAAACTATTCACTAGTCATTACCACTTTGATTTTCTTCTTGTATAGTTGAACATTTATTTTATTTATTTATTTTTTACAACCACTCATCTCAATCCAATTGACTCTGGACAACGAAGTAAACTCACTACCCAGAGTCATTTGCTGAGATGGCCGGCTATAAGAAAGAAAGAAAGAAAGAAAGAAAGAAAGAAAGAAAGAAAGAAAGAAAGAAAGAAAGAAAGAAAGAAAGAAAGAAAGAAAGAAAATCATAACATTAAAACCTAAAAACACAAAAACAGTTAGAAACGGTTACATATGTCTTCTTTTTTGTTTTAATCAGTCTAAATAATATTGGTTCATTAATTGCTCTCTCTACCTTCAGATTCTTCTTGAAAAAATTAAAAAGAGAGATCTTTAGGAGATCCCATTGTTTTTCCCATTTGTGGGAATTGGTCAATTCTTTCTCTCTCACCTTAGTCCCAAAATAGAGAAGAAGAAATTAGTTTTAAACTGATATAAATGTAAACTATATATATCATTATTTAATAGTAAATTCTGTTTACAGGAATTCTCTAGATAATGTACAATAAATTAAAACTTAGTTTAAAAATAAAAAATGGTATAAATACAGTACAGAGTAACAAAAAATAATTTGAAGTCAAACTGTAAAAAATATGATAAGGTAAGCAGCATGAGGGAGAATACCATTTTTTAAAAAATCACAATAATAATTGGTAATTAAATGGAAGAGACCCAAGCTTTGTCAAGAATGTCTCTGGAAAACAAATTAATCATCTCTTTTCCAGTTAAAGTTTATTTCACTTTCTCTGACCCTATGTGATTTCTATTTTAGTATTTGCAGGAAGTGACTTGGAGTCAGAATGAGGCCTTGCCAACAGCTATTATTTTTTTTTAATAGCAGTTTCTTTCCATTCACCTCAGCCCCTCTGTTAAAATATTCTTTTCAAGGCTGTCTGGACTGAGTGAATTATAATACATGCATTCTTGCTATAGTACTTCTGATTGATTGCATTGACTGGGAAGAGTTGGGCTGATCAACAGCAAGCACAAGTGGTCTAGAATGCATGCAACAACTCATTCATTAATTCTGACTGATCTCAAAATAGTTAGAAGTGGGCAGGATTGCTTCTTTGCTCATTCTCTTTCTCTTTCTGTGATATAGGGCTTCAATCTTAATTCAAATTCAATCTAAGCGGTGAATAAAATTGCTACCTAATTATTTTCTCTCCTAAGTTCATGCAAACCTCTCAAGGACAACTGCTGAAATCGTTAAAGCAAGAAACAAGCTCAGTTACATATTCATTATGTACCCCCTTGTTGCTAATCTTTCTTCTCAAAACAGTGCCCTGATATATTTGCTGTGCAAAATTTCATGGTGTGTTTCCTCATGTGATGGAAAGACACTAAAGATGCACATGTTTGACCCAGTGCTTCTAAACAGTCTACTTGCAGTATTATAAAAGCACTAGCTCGGCCCATGTAAGGTGCTAGGCAAGTTTTAATTAGTCGGTGTATTTCCCTTATGACTGAATTATTCGTTAATGTCTTCTTAGCTGTTTCCAATGAAGTTGAATGACATTGCAGTGTTAATTGAATGCTAGGTTTGAAGATATTCTCTGTTAACTCTGTCAGGTCCTTTGTTAATTTCCCAACAAGCCTAAGGTCTTTCCAACAGGAAAGGTCATTTGCTGCATTTTCTTCAAAGAAAGTAAGTAAGGGGAATGAGAGGTGCAGAGTTTGTACCTTAGGGAGGTGGGGTCTTTTCTTCCCACAAGTTGTGGAGATTATTTGTACACAAAGACAGTTATACTTTCCCCGCATCACTAGTCCAAATCATTCTGTGCAAAGTTTTTTTGTGGTTAAATATAGTTAAAATATTTTCAAGCCAAAATTCTTTTTAAAGAATTTAATGCAAATAACAAATTATTTTGAATGCTCAGTGGATTTGCTTGTGAATTATCTTATACACCCAGATTGTGGAACTTCCAGTAATGCCCTTAATCCTTGTAGTCTTATCTGCGATAATTGTTGAGTATTTCTTTTAGTTTAGCTTGGCTTTGTTTGTTTTGATTAAATGTTTCTGGCAGGGATTGCTCTAAACGTTGCTTATTCACTATTAAGTTTAATTTGAACTTTGCCACAAAATATAATAGCAGACTAGATTTATACTGAAATGTTGTTCATTGATTCTTACACATTAGTCCATCCATTACACCAGTTAAAATCACATAACCATAGAGAAAATTCAGCTCACTTTGGGATGACTATGACCAAGTTCATTTAAATTTGAAGTGGGGTGTGAAAACTTTCTGGAATTACAGTGGTAAATCTGTCTTCTCTAGGAAGGCATCATATTAAATAACATAAAGAAGAAAAACTGTGTGACCAAAATGTGATACAATGTGTATGATTGTAGTGTATAGCATAAGTATATGCACAACAGAGAGGAAACAGAATTTATGCTGTAAGATCTTGTTGCTGGTCACCCAAGATCACCTGCAGAAAAATATAGTCATACTTAGCTAGACATGATTATATTCTCTCTGAAACCATTGCCTGTCAATTTGGGAAGATATTCTGAAATTTTGGGCCATTTGTTCTTGGGATAGGGGGAGGGGTATGTTTAAAGATCAGAATGGATGCCTTAAGCCTTTCCAAGGTTTAATTCATTAATGGAACCCCTTTAAAACCCTAAATTCTCCCGGTCTTAAATAGATTTGTTCACATTTGTGGATGATTTAAGGGATAAAAAAGTTCCTTCAGATGTTTCAAGACTGACCCTTAACCCCTTCATAATCTTCAGAAAGAAAAAGAAAATTTTAGCTCTCCCCATAATTGTGATATTATAGTGCAGTGATGGTGAACCTTTTAGAGACCGAGTGCCCAAACTGCAACCCAAAACCCACTTATGCATCGTCAGGTGCTGGGTAGGCATGGCCCATTGGGTGGGTGTGACCCATTGGATGAGCTGGGTGGGAATTAAAAACTTCAATCAATCAATTCCAACTTTACGAGATCTTTTTTTTTCCTGGGAGAAGTTGAAATTGATTGATTGATTGAACTTTTTTTTTTTTTGCACACGGCGACGGAGGCCTAAAGCGAAAATGTTTTATAAAACCCAGCTGAAGGCCTAGGACTGGGGCGACAGCACGCGTGCCCACAGAAGGGCTCTGCGTGCCACCTGTTGCACGTGTGCCATAGGTTTGCCACCATGGTTATAGTGGCATTGGTCTGCAAGCCCAAAAGATTGGCCATTCTTGTTCAAAAGATCAGGAATTCTACTGGAATTATATCAGCTATTCTAATAACAACCTCATTCTTAGATTATGTAGCCAATATGACATTATTCAAAAGTTTGAGAGTTGGATGAGTTGTGTTTTGAATCTGAGTAGAGGGTGACGGGTGAAACCTCCTTAAACCAGCTGAGCCTTTTGGAAGAGTTGCAGAGTGACTGCATGATGCCAGGAAAAAATGTATTTCTGTTAAGGAGGTGCCAATATTGTGTCCATGCCACTTCAAAAGCTCCACTATATATTTTCTTTAACTTCTTTGAGGAAATACTGACTCGTTTCCACTTCAGATCAACTATCAGATCAAATCTGAAGTGGAGCACATTCTCACTCACTGGATACCTCTCACAGATAGAAAAATGAATGCTAGTGATTGTGAAATACTAAATACGGAATGAATAGGGAAAGAATGGAAAACTGGAGAAGGAAGATGAATGAAGTAGCATATTCTGGGAAACACCCTGAGTGGTTTCCTGAAACTCTTAGTAGGATTCCAGGTTCCCATTGTAAATAAGAAAAACAAAATATCTTTGATTTCTTTTTATCTTCATTAAGAATCCTATCTTATCTCTTTATCTGATAGGTGCATTTTATGAAATGGTTCAGAACTTCCCTCGAGTGGAGGAAAATGTGCACATGGACTCCTACAGATATAGCCACAGATGGAAACGACATTCGGAATTGCTCAAATCAGTGGACACCAACAGAGCCAGCATAGGACAGGACTCCTCAAAACCTGGAGGTTTTACAGATCTACTTCCTGATGACACGCATGATAACACTACGCAAATTGAGGTAGTGGGCTATTCTCTGTTGATGTTGTTGACTTCAGATAGCTGCACAGTGAGCACTGATATAAAACCTCATTATTAACTCCTCACAGCTTTCCCATAAAGGAAAGCTGTTTATCAGCCAGCAAGTACAGACATTTCAAACATTATATACCAGAGCAGGGAGCTGGCCCAATCAGATACTGTCTTAAGAATGCATAGACAGTAGGCAATGCAACTCCAAGGGTGTAGCCTTTTCATTACAGCAATGTTCTCATCTCATCTGATTCACTCCTGTGAGAAGAGGAGGGAGACCTTATCCATAAACCATACTCTTAATGAGCCTTGAATTTTGTGAATTCTATTTTCTTTCTACTGTATATACCCAGTGAGTCAGAAAGAGCAGGTTAATGTCTGCAATTTACAAAAACCTTGCAGATGCACAATACATTTCTATGCACCAGCAACCTTTTGTTCTCGTATTATATCCACTTTGTTCTGGTGCTGCATCCTTTACTGAAGGCTTAACTCCAAAATAAAGAATCTCACAAATATTTAAATCACTTTCATTATCCTTATTGTACATCCATGGACGTCCAACTTTCATGTCTTGGAAATCCCAGAACAAATGGAACTTGAATTAGACATATGTATGTGCATTATGCCCTTGTGCATGCACATGTGTGTATTTATTCATAATAAATATGTCTTTTTATAATAACCAGTATTTATCCTATAGATTTAAGCTCGACAGTATGCATTATGCAAAGACATAATTAATTTCAGCTTCTCTCCTTTCCTATATTTAATGATGTTTCTTTGAAATGAGATTCAGCTATACTCCTTGGTATAATGCGACACAATGTAATATTATATGGAAATACTATGAAAAGATAACCTTTTCAAATTTCTGGTAACTGTTCTCCATTCCCTGGCTTCATTATCATGGTTACTTTCCTTTCTTATTTTTTGTTTCCAGTCATTATTAGAACCTTACAAAGAATAGGAATTACATTACATTTCCTTAATGAAATGTGAGAGTTTTTTTAAAAAAGTGAAAACACAATTATAATTTGTTCATCATTGCAATTGCTGCTCTGTAGCACCTAAATTAATTTCCTATCACCATGATGGCTTGGTTAATTTATACGGTTCCATGAACTGATTTCTGATTTCATTTGTAATACACAAAACTTTGCATTGCTCTTCAACAAGTTATCTATCACTGCTATACCTAAAACCATCTATAGTAGTCAACGTAGAACCACAATTGGGACCAGAAGATGGTTGTTAAATAAATCATGCCTGATTTTACAACAGTTGTCAAGTAAACCATGTAGTTGTTGAGCAAATCTTCCTTCATTGACTTTGCTTGTCACAAGCCAATTGGGAAGATTACATATCATGACCCTAGGGTGCTGCAACTGTTGTAAATTCCTGCCAGTTGCTAAGTGCCTGAATTTTGATCACATGACAGTGAGAATGCTGCAACAGTCATAAGTGCAAGGACCAGTTGTAAGTCACTTTTTTCAATGCCATTGTAACTTTGAATGGTTGCTAAATGAATGATTATAAGTCAAACATTACGTGTATATCTAAAACTCTACCTCTATTTTCAGTTGTGGAGACCTTGGTGCTTTCTGAGCTTGATTGTTTACTTCCAGAAGACATGATGAAAACTCCTTAATCTCATAACACATGGATAAACTCAACCATAATTTCACTAGGAAACTGTGAACATCCAAATTCAAGCTGAATCCAAAAATTGCTAGAAAACCCCTGGAAACTTGGAATTCAGACACATCAGCTATCGGTAGACACTTAGTGAAAAAATACATTTACACACCATTCAAAAGCTAAGAAAGAAACAAAAAGACCAGAACACATAGTTTCCAGCAGCCAACATCCACATAAGCAAAGATTAACACCTGCAAAGAATCAAGCAAAAACAGTACCCTAATCAAGGAACTACCAAGAAGAAACCACACCCCATCAACACTGGAAGATAAGCTGCTATATATAAACAGGGAACAAACCTTACATTCTGGCACTGATGATATTACTTAGTTGAGTAATGAAACATCTACAAATAAACAGTCAAGCTCATAGAGCACCAACAACTCCAGAGCTCACCTCTGAGCTTCTTCTTTTAAATAGTTGTCAATGCACAGATTGAGATTGCTGCTGGAAGCTGGGCAGCATATAATTTTTTATTATTATATTACCCAAAACGTGAAGTCACATTTTATAATTTTTCAAAATGCTGCAATGAGTCATTTTGGCAACTGTGTTATGTTTTTGTTTATAATCAGTTTATTGTTATTCTTATATTCAACCCATTGATGAATATTAATAAGAAACTGGAAAATTAGTAAGAGCTGAAGATATTGTCATGTAATAAGTAATAATATACATGCCACATTTTATATTGGCTCTTTCAGATCACAGGCTATATTTTAAATTTACCAATCTAATTTCCTCTCTCTGGGCAAATTATGACTAGGGAAAATTATCTTTTGCAGTTATTTTCTAATCTGAATTAGAAAACTGCTTTTGTATATCTTCAGTTTGGCATGAAGGCCAACTGTTTCCTAACATTAAGATATACAATGATAGGAAATTGTGCTTTACCATGATTCTGATTCTGATGCCGTTCATATATACCTTCATTCAAGATTCTATGCTTCCTGAATATCCAATAGAAAATTTTGGACTTGAAAATTCTCATATCTTCCCTCTTTCTCTTTTGAAAAGAAAGGAAATAAATTGCAAAGTTCTGCTTACATTTATATTAACAGAATCTATGTAACATAAGAACACTGGAAAGCTAGCTAGTTTAAACATTAATTAATTCAATGAAATCAGGATTAAGATATGTCATAAGATATTTCTTATTATATCAGAATAATGTATAGTTCCAGTCTTCGATGTGCATTATTATATTAATGATTTATGACACACTGATAATCTTGATTTTAAAAACCTCTCTGCAAAAAAAATAAAAATAGAAAATGCAAAATCCCTTAATAAAAATAATGTAGTGGTGTTTGAGAATCATAGTGTTGTATATAATATTTGGAGCCTGTTTCATGAAATGGTTGAAGTCACCTGGCTAGTTATCAGCAGATTGTGAGTTATAGTTCTACTTTAGGCACAAAGTCACCTGGATAACCTTGGTCTGTCACTTACTCACAGCCATAGCAAGAACAAGGACAAGTGATTTCCAAAAATGTTGCCAAGATAACTCCAGGCACACCTCCAAAGATAAAATATGAATGAATGTGCATGCATACATTCACATATACTGTACATAGAGCAGAATATAGAATTGCTCTTAAAGATTTAGGTTTCTAGGTGTTACCATAAAGGTTAAGAAGGCCCAGCAGAGATTATATTTCTTGAGACTTCTCAGAAACAACAACTGAATGAAAAACTGGTGGTGACCTTTTACCATTGCTCCATAGAGAGCATTCTAACCTATTGCATTTGTGTGTGGTTTGCTAACTGCACAGTAGCAGATAGGAAAGCACTCCAGAGATTAATAACCATCACCCAGAGGATTATTGGCTGCTCTCTCCTCCCCCCCCAACGAACTGTACAGTTCCCACTGTCTTAGGAAAGCTCAAAACATTGTTGAAGACTCATCTCATCCAGACATTCTTTTTTTGAACTATTACCATCTGGCAGATGGTACATGATAATACAAACAAAGACAAATAGGCTGAAAAATAGTTTTTATTCCAGAGCTGTAACCATATTAAATACTACTGTATATAGTGCAATATTAGGGGCAGTGCAATGGTTAATAGAATGCGAAGGATGTGTATATATACTGTATGTTCTTATTTTTGGTTTTTACTTGTGTATTGTGTGCGCTGTGGACAGCACTTAATTTTGTTGTAGTTACACAATGACAATAAAGATATATTCTAAAAGCATAAGCTATGTAGGGAAGAAATAGAATGGTGTTTCTTATCTCTGGAGGTTCATGCCATTTTTATTTAGGCTCTTAGGGATGTCCCCGGAGGAGGGGCAGTGGCTTCAAAATAGTACGTGCCATTTACAAAAAAAGGTAGAGGGTTCATCACCTGAGCTGTTCGAAAATGTTGACCCAACTGCCCTATCTTCCCATGAATTCTTCTGTATATTCTCCTTCAGGTTATAAATTCCTGAAGGCATATTTTTCAGGGGTTTATTTTAAAAAATGTATGGTAAAATATTTATACTTAATTCTAAATTATGATATGAGGAATAAACATTTCTTAAATTTTTTTACTTTATACTACATGCAGAACTGTCATATATTTTTAAAATTGAAAATTGTCTTGCAACATTGGAAATGAATAAAAATTGGAAAAAAGATAAATATAATATGCCTATGTTCCCAGATACTTAAGTTCACTTCACATAATTCTCCTTGCCCCCATGACATTAGAGGATAATGCTGGCAGTTAAAGTATGCGCAGTGGAGAGTTCCAAGGTAAAGAAAGGTTAGCCTGGGATGTGCAGGATTATGGCAGATCACATTGGCATTCACAAATTATCCATTTTTGTTGGTGATAATTTCAAACATGAAAGCCCCCTGGAGTTATTAATAAAAAGAGCCAACCTGAGCAGATGCAAATTACTAGTTCCACTGAGAAGGAAATAGCTCTTTTTTTCTCTTTTCCCTTCCTACCCATCTATCAAGAGCAGACTTTGCAGTCAGAGTATAACTTCAAGGCAATTAAGCAGTTGCACTTCTCATTTTAGAAATCAAGAATTGAAAGAACGGATAGCAATCAGTGGTGGGGGAAAAATAATCTCCTTCTTGCCTTAAAATCTCAGAGTTAATTGTATATGGAAGCATTTTCTAGTCCCACCCCTTCTTCGCTCTTCAAAACTGCAAACAGCTGCAGATCACCTTCACAATTCAATTCACAAAGTGACACAATTTTATTTTATTTTAAATGAGATGAATAGTTGCTTCAAATTTTGCGAACACAAGTTCCATTTAGGTGGGAAAAGGAAAATGCAGTGCAGTGC